CCGGGGCGCGCTGGCGGGAGGTGGGGCGCAGCGCGGGGTCCGGGTCCCCTGCCCCCGGCGTGCTCTCCCTGGCTGCTCTTTCTTTGCGTGAAAATCCCTCCCCCAGCTCCGGCTTCTCTCCCAGCTTCTCCAGCCTCAGTCCCGCCGCATTTCAGCTCTAGCTTAGCACCCCAAATTCTGCCCCCTGCTCCGCCCCGCACCCAACATTCTACCCTCGCTCCACCTCGCATCCCACATTCTACTCCCAACCTCAGCTTTGAACCCTAAATTTCTCTTCCCAGCTCCACCTCTACACCCCAGCTTTCCTCTTGCCACATCCCCAAGCCTCCACGAAGCTGGGGGGCCCTTTCTCCCACCCGTTCATCAGCAGGATGTACCCCCAGGGAAGGCACCCGGTGAGTACCAAGACCCTCCTTTCTGGCTGCAGGAGGGGAGGACGAGGAAGGGATCCCTGCCTCCTGATTCCCCGGAACTCACCCCCCACCCCCGTGTCCTTACTCTCTGTCCCCCTCAGACTCCATTGCAGTCCGGCCAGCCTTTTAAGTTCTCAGTCCTAGAAATCTGTGACCGAATCAAAGAGGAATTCCAGTTTCTCCAAGCTCAATACCACAGGTGAGGAGGGACAGCTCTGGGCACTGGGATCCGCCTCCCCCCCTTCCCCTCCCCCCGCAGCGGGGGTGGGTGGGTGGTGGGTGGAGAGGACGACGGCTCATGAAGGGGGCGTGGTCTCTAGGGCAAGGGGCGGGGCTCACTGGGTCTACAGGAGGGCTTCCTGGTGGAGGTGGTGTTCCCAAGGTGCGGTGTATGGGTTCTGGGAAAGCCTTCCTTGAGGAAGGGTTTGATCTCATCCAGGAGGGTAGGCCTGGACCTGGGCAGTTTCTAAAGACGTGGCAGGAGAGAGGCGGGGGGGGGGGGGCAGGCAGCCCCTACCTGTCACTGTGAAAACTGACCCACGTGGGGTGTGGCGAGACAATCCCCCTTTTTTTGTCCAATCTTCCTGCCAGCCTCAAGCTGGAGTGTGAAAAGCTGGCCAGCGAGAAGACAGAGATGCAAAGGCATTACGTGATGGTAGGGGTCCTCGCCCTTGCTGTCCCCACCCTCGTGTTTTCCCTAAAGAAGGTAGTCTGGGGTCTGGGGTATCAGGCGCTATTTCTATGGGTGCCTCCGGTCCCCTGTCTTGGGGACTGCCTGCTTGTCACTGCTGTCTGAGCCCAATTGTGACCCGCCTTCTGGGCTCCCTGTCTGGGTCCCAATGAGGTTCAGGGTTTCCATATTTTGCCCTGATACTCCTACCCCTGAGGCCGGGTTAAGACTGTGTCCCCGGGGTGGGACTGACTGTCCACACTGGCCTTGCTGTCTTCTTTGCAGTACTACGAGATGTCTTATGGCCTGAACATTGAGATGCATAAACAGGTGACTGTTCCGGGGACAGGGGTCTGTGGGAAGGGACAGAGCACTTCCTTGGGGGCAGAGGTCATCTTTGAACATCTCTGGAGGCCTCAGAGGGCCGTCCCAAGGCCAGGGGAAGAGATCTTAATCTTGTAACAAAAAGTATTCTCAGCATCTAGAGACAGTGGCCTGAGCAGGAACAGCAGAGGAATGGAGTGTCCCCAAGGAGGAGGGCCTGGGCTGTAGGCCAAGGAAGTCCTGGAGACGACTTCCCTTCCAGCAGGGACTCCATTGCAGAGCCAAATTTCTGCAATTGCATGATAGACCCCCAGGAGCATGTGATGGATCCTGGGAACCTGTGATGGATTTTGGGAGCCTGTGACGGACCCTGGGAATCTGTGATGGATCCCAGGAGACTTTGGTGGACCCTGGGAATCTGTGATGGATCCTGGGAACCTGTGATGGATTTTGGGAGCCTGTGACGGACCCTGGGAATCTGTGGTGGATTCTTGGAGCCTGTAATGGACCCTGGGAGCCTGTGGTGGATCCCGGGAGTCTGTGATGGACCCTGGTAATCTGTGGTGGACCCCTGGAGCCCGTGAGCTTGTGATGATGGACCCCTGGAGTCTGTTGGTGTTCTCTGTGTGACCCTAATGAGAGTGTCCTGGAGGGCTGGAATGGCTGTGTCTCTAGGTGCTTGACCTGCTGCCGGGGCTCAGCCTGGTCCTGTGCTTCAGAGACAGACCATAGGGTTTTGTGTCTGTCTCTGAAGAGATGGATTCCTAGGCTGTGAGGTCCTGAGACTCTTCCTATCTAGGATTGTAAATGTGGGTCTAGGTTCTGAGACGGCCCTTGGGGTTCTGAGGTAGAGTTCAAAGTTCTGAGCTAGCCCCGAAGGTTCTGAGGTAGCCTTGAAGGTTCTGAGCTAGCCCTGAAGGTTCTAGCTAGCCCTGAAGGTTCTAGCTAGTCCTGAAGGTTCTGAGCTAGCCCTGAAGGTTCTGAGCTAGTCCTGAAGGTTCTGAGCTAGCCCTGAAGGTTCTGAGCTAGCCCTGAAGCTTCTAGCTAGCCCTGAAGGTTCTGAGATAGCCCTGAAGGTTCTGAGCTAGCCCTGAAGCTTCTAGCTAGCCCTAAAGGTTTTGAGCTAGCCCTGAAGGTTCTAGCTAGCCCTGAAGGTTCT